GTCACCTAAATTCCATTAAGATCAGTCGTCGATTGCGTTTTAAGATATCTGGTCAGGAACGTTTCTCTTCCTCATATCAACACCCTACTCCCGCTCGTCACCAAAATTTAATATTTTCTTGGTGAACACTTTTATACAGATCAGTAGACTAGTTTTGGGGTATCTCGTGTGCGGTGTTTTTCTTTAAATGTTCCCCACATCCACACCCCACTCCGGATCCTTACCGAAATAAAAAGGAAAATTCCATTTAATATAGAAATAATTTGTGAAAATTAGCACCATTCTTTTAGGTGTCTACCATTTAGGGCATATTTTGCACCTAATGAATCTCAAAATATTGGACAAGGACTGGTGAGAATTTATTATTCAAATTACGTTAGTACAGTATAGTGGAAATAGCAGAGTATATCTATCACAACATTTTAGCATGTTCCGTATAATCCAGTTTTTACTATAATCTTTATCAGTGCCTTATCTGCTTTTGTCAACATTATATACAAACATTTTTTATTATTTAAAAGGTAATCTGTCTTTCATTTGCAAAGGTCGTTCTAAAATTATATATATTTTTTTTTTATTAAGTTAAGGATGTTACAAAGTGCAGATATATTACCCGTGATTACCCTACTATTAACCCATTTCAGGTTCTCATCAAATTACATCCGCAAAAACAAATGGAGACAGTAAGATGTGTATAAGAGACAGTATCTAAACAGTATCATTACATACAAAATATTATAAATATTAATTCATAGTGATCAATATGACATGAATAATCAATTAATGCATCAAATAATCAAGCATTATAATATCATCTAAGCTTATGCACATAACTGGTCTATACATATAATATTAATTCAATACGTATATATATTTAATATCATTAACATGTATTTCATTAAATGAATAACGTGGTGCAATACGATACGTGGTTGTGATGCATCACTCCAGATATGTAACGAAACAAGTTATTGTTCTTAGTTCTCACATCACTCCGGCTAATGTGCGTCAACTACCAATCACTGCTAGACGTTTTGATTACACTTAACTCCAGCTAACATGTTCCCACTGCAAGTTAATCTGGCTAAGGTGCATCCAACGCAAATCAATGTTTCTGGTTTCAATCGCACTCACTCAACTCCGGCTAATGTATACGCTCAACCACAAGTCAGCTTTCTTAGTTTCCGTTACTCTGGAAAACGTGCAACATAAATCATGTCTGATACATCAATTATAAATTAACATTTCACAAATTTAGCTGGTCTTCATATCTCACGAGATTCAAAGATCATCAATTTACACATTCACGATCATCATCGGCAATTTATATCCTAGATCATCACATGGATTCAATGTAGATCATCATATACGATTTAGATAGCATAAAAAAATGAATGCAAGATCAAGATATGGATTCACGAACATCAATATACAAATTCAAGATCAACAAAAATGGATTTAAGATAGAAATTCACTCCAGAATGGCGCACCATTCTACTTTGACGTCTAACCTGCTTGTCACTGTGGTCTTCACATATCACAATTTCCGCAGAAACATTACCCTGCATGAGGCTTTACTCTAGCCTTACTCTACAGTCTATGGCAATACTAGTGTGTATAGCGACCTGGACAAAGCCACGGTTTTCGTACATCATTATCGATCGCAACCGATTCAAATTCCACCAACGCAACCGCTTTAGCACGGAATTATTATATACTACGGAGCCGATATCGCTACGCAAGACGACATCCGACGCTACAGCCATTCCTCCGCAGAGAAAGTAGCACGCAATTTGCATAAGAATATACGACCAGTGAACGATAGCGTACCACGAAATTTGCATACGACAATCAAGTGAGCAATAAAGCAAGGCGTAATTAGCATATTAAAGAACAATAGGCTGAAAATGTATTACGGCGATCTTAAACCTGACAATGTAGCAATATTCAATATTATGCCTTAGAATAATTATAATCTTATATATTTTTTTCAACTTAATTCAATTCAGTATTTTATTTTCAGACGAAAATAATTTTTTTTTTAAATAGAGTAAGCGTCATGCCTTAAAACTATGCCAAAGAGAAGTTCTCTCCATCTACAGTCCAATTTGTAGTCTGTGAGCAAAAAATCACAATCACATTTAACTAAAGAATTTTTGCTAGTCAACATGCATTCCTTAAAGTCATAAAACTGACTTTCTCAAATATTCAAAAAGGAGGAAACACCGTTTTCTATGAACACCATAATCGCACTAAGGTTTCTCGGAAGTTCAATATTTTACGGAGTGAATTATTGTAACAAATATTCAAAGATATGATATTTTTCTGATGATAATCACACCATAATGCAACATAATACATACTGCAAAACTTAACGAATTTTCTAAGTAAATATGTGAACTTCAATTGCGGGAATTGCTTGTAATGCGTAAATACATATACTGTAATTTAATATCAGCCTCAACACTATTATCATTGGTAAAAATGTGGCCAAGATAAATATGATTTTCAAAATATAAAAGCTCATTAGCAAAAAGCTTGGTAATCGATTGCCTTCAAACCAGTGGTGGCGCCAGAGGGGGGCGGGGGAGTTAGGGTTAGGGTTCCCCGTCGGGGAAGCATAGACCCCCCCCCCCGTCAGGGAAGACGATAAACTTTGCCGGGGAACAAACAAATAAAAAACAATACTTACATGTAATATTCGTTTAGCCACCATATTGTTTGTGTTAACCTTTCATCACAACAACAACAGCAACAACAATAATTATAATAATAATAAAAATAATTCAATAAGTCTAAGTAAAAATAATTTGCGTTCTGTTATAACAAATGGTCATTTAGATAGCCTCATGATGGTTGGAATACATCGTGATAGGTGAAGCAACCTCGACCATGACAGCGTGGTTGACAGATTTCATGCAAGATTTCCAAAATATAGAATTTCACTTTCAAGAATGGGGATTTGAAAATAAATTAGATGGTTACATTGCATATTCTTTGTTTCTTGCTTTATTCAAAATGTTTTGGTTTTGGAAGCTGATTTCAACATTATAAAGCATAGCGTACATGAAGTCATATTATAGTAACTCGATGCCTATCAAATAAGTAATAAAAATTTATCAAAAATTCATCATAATTCATCAAATTACCATGGCTAGGCGGCCCCGGCCCCCAGCCAAATGAGACTCGATTCGCTCCACTAGCCCCCCCCCCCGTCGGGGCCTTTAGCCCCTCCGTCGGGCAGGTCCTGGTGCCACCGCTGCTTCAACCTTCAGTGAGAAAGTACATACTGAAAAATTTCTTCTCATTACAAATAACGCCATAATCGTTTGCATACTCTTCACAAGTTAACTGCAACGTTCGTGAACGTTATAAGAACGTTTTGTGCTTGCTGGGGTATCTAGAAGACTTGAAATGGGGGTGCCGAATGGGGGGGAGGTGCGAAAGTGAAGTGGAGGGGCTTGATGATCAGTTGAGGGTCGCGAACTTACAAAATAATGTGATTTTAGGTGATTTTTATCTACTACAAGTGATTTTTTTGTGAGGACGACAGGGGGTGGGGCGCTAGTAATTTTTGGAAGGGCGTGTGCTCCCCGCCCCTTGATACTCCACTGATGATGTGTGCAACTAATTGCGCGAGTCAAGGAACTAAAGAGGCAAGTAAAACAAGGCCATAAGCATAACTGAGGTTATTAACTATAGGCATTACGTTTCCCGGTGGCAGCCATGATTTGATTCACCAAGAATGAGATTAAAGCCTTATTCGCACTGGATTTAAAAAATGGTAAATTTAACCAGGGTAACTTTAACCAAAGTCATGGGTACATTTCACCATTGTTCGCACTTGGATTATTCACGCGCTTAGTTTTACCATAGTTTTACCAAGATTTAACCTTGTGTATAAAAAAATATTATTGAGGGCGCTAGTTTGTGACTTCAACTTCCGGTTTTGTTCGAGCGGTGTCAACATGGAAGAAGTTTTAACCGTGTTGCACGTTCGGATTGGTTTTACTGGGCAGGCTGAGGTCGGTAAAATTAACCATTCGGCTTGGTTAATTTAACCCTGAGGGAATTGTATCCGACGTTCGGATTGGATTTTTTTTTGGTCAATTTAGCCAGTGACTCGGTTAATTTGACCAAATTAAGTCCAGTGCGATAGGGGCTTAAGAATGTTAATATAAATATGGTACTGAAGCGGGGATGTCTTCCCACCTTGTACTCTAACTCCAGTATTTAATTTAAATAATCCTTAAAATTGGTTTCCCAAACGAACCATAAACCTTTGTTTATCATCAGGCTTTAAGTCGTTTAAAAGAAAGATTTAGTACTTTTTGCAATAAGTTGTTTAGAGAGACACCAATGATTTACTACCGTACCACTTATACTATAATATTAGTAGTCTGTCACCTGTTAAAAAATGTGTGTGAGCCTAATTGTGAGCCTTTAAAGCACCACGAACTGATCGAAGTAGATTCAAATACTTTAGATAAGTCTCCTCGATGCTAAGACTGTGCCTTGTGAGACGCCTCTGTGTGAAATATTGAATTAAAAAAAAATACTGTACAGGGGCTAAATCAATAGGCCTGTAGTTACTTTTACTTGTTAATATCAAAGTACCGGCTGCTACTTGGGGATCAGATTCATCACTATCCACCAGGCAGCAAGCTCGGTGATCTAGTGGTTAAGACACCTAGTGGTTACCACACTAGGACACTAGACACTAGGTGGTTTAGTTATCAGGAGGTCGTGGGCTCGATTCCCACCCGATTCACTTACGAGAATAAGTTTGATCTTATATATGTATTATCAAAATTATCAAAATATTTACGATTCTCACTTCTGCATGAAAGATATTTCCTGTTATACAAGAGAAACAAGTTTGTTTGATCATACACATAATGTGTAGGCCTGGAGTATGTCGGAAAATAATTGCTCATTTGAACGAGAGTCACACAGTGTATTCAGTTAGCTGTCAGTCATGAAGAATGTTCAACAGAAAGTGAAAACAATAGTTGGACATATATTATTGCCACCTTTATCTGCTGTAAACTTCGACCACTGTGCAATTAAATTTACTAATGTAATAACTATGCTAATGATTTCCGTGTTTGTTCAATTTCTTCTACTCTTTTCTATACTCAGCATTACCGCCTTGAATGCTCAATATTATTGTCTAAATCACCTCGCTATCATACATCATGATAATGACATCACTAGAAGCTTTTTTTGCTCTACTTATGTTTGTGATCTGTAGATTGGATGGATGGGAGATTATCAAGCACCCCAACAGTTACAATGTTTCTGAGGGGGACAGTGTTAAGTTTGCTTGTAGGTTTGATTCTTCTATCAGAGGACATATCTATAGGCTAATATGGTATCGTAAAGGTGAAGCAGTTACTGCATTTGACTTGGTGCGTCCTTCGTTAGAAACTCGATTCGCTGTCAGTCAAGATGAATTTAACTATAATTTAAGTATCTCAGCCGTTTTGTATGAAGATACAGGTATCTATTACTGTGTAGCCGACAACAGAACTATGAAAAGTCGCTCAAATGAAGCGCAATTGGATGTATCACCTGCACCGGATCCGTTATGTTACATTCAGCGTGTGATAAACAATACAAAATATGTTTGTACGTCAAGCACAAAAGGAGATGTTATCTACTGGACTTACAACAATGAGCCCATATTACAACTTGAAGTTGCGGAAGACGACACGCGGACCTTACGATGCAACGTTAAGAACAGCCTTGGAATACCAAACAGAACGTGTGTTATCAATAACCATTGCGTGGTGCGACATGTATTAGATGGACTAGTAGTTATTGGGGATAAAGCCGCATTTATATGTACCTGTCGCTATCCACACTTCTGGAACGTTACCAGTTGGACATACAATTATAATAAAATATCAATAAGTTCTGGAAGATTTTTTGTTAGTGGTGAGTCGCTCCACATAGATTTCATCCAGGAAAAGGACAACGGTCTTTTAATTCGATGCAATGCAAAAAATGAGACAAATGAAGTATCCAGTGGATGGCTGAAGCTGCAGACGTCATCAGGAAACCCAACATCAACAGTTCACGATATAGATCCTGTTTCATTCACAGCTGCAGCCAGCGATGTCTGGACATCTACCATGAAAGGTATAAATCCGTCTTCAAAGAATGACTTTAGGCCTATATCTAAAGATATCTTAAAATATATTGCTTTAGTTTTGATGATATTGATATGTGTGATTACAGTTTGCGGTGTAGTATACTGTACCATTAAACGCCGGGCAAAGAGAGGCCAATTTTCAATTAGTTTGAAGGATGTTATAAAACATCAGAATACGGAATCTTTCAGTGATAACGCCACAAAATGCTCAACTCCTGCAGCTACCATCAAATATTCCAATGGCAATCAATCTTCTGATCATTATACAAACTTATCAACTATCAATGAAGATTCCGAAATGAAAATAAATGAGTGCAGCGATGAGGTAGTAATATATGCTAACGTTGAGGAAACAGTAATAGATTGTCTGGAAGCGAGCTTCGATGAAAATGAATTCGATGACGACTGGGGTGACATCAGCAATAATTAGGATAATGCTTAGCGAAGACGACGAAAATGTTATATACTTGAAAGCGGCTCTGTCACAATCTGACGTTATGTTTTGGTTTGATAATATGTCATCATTTTATTACGCTAGCTAATGAGGTCTTCATTCTGCAGCTTGTTATCATGCAGCAAGAAGCTTCATGTGGGCCGGCCACCCTTCTCGCTTTCAGTTAACACTGTTAAGATTGTATGTTACATTGGTCAAACCGAATGGCCATGTATCTGCAAAAAGGTCAAATCTAAAATAAAGGGAAGTTTAATTAACTTTAAGTTACTACATGCCAGTTTGATTTATAAGAACTTATTTAATGTACAATGACCCCATCACCTCTTTGTTCTTTGTATTACAGAAGATTATATTTGTAAACGTGTTAAGCACGTAATTGAGAATGTGTTACAAAGGAATAGGTGTATATTTGACATAGATATGAACCAGATTGTATTTAGTATTCATAAAGAAATATGATAAAAAATAACGTAATAAAGGTTTGATTATCTTAGCTAATTCCGTAATTTACAAAACATGGCTTTAATACACGTGAACGCAAACAAAACCTAGTTAAACCTAATATACCAGTTTTTATGCCAAAATTAAGTTTAAAATAAGTTAGAAAAGATAATTTGGTTTCTTTTATTTACACAATGTATACTAAAGACTATCCCTTTAAAAACATTGTTGAATGAACTTTATTACGCCCGCAATACGAATGTAAAAACATTAAAATAGAATAAAATCACCAAACAGCAAAAAATCTTTAAAATAGTAAGCATAAGTTGAATAAAAATGTTAAATTCGAGCAGTACAAAAGTTATAATTGATAATTATTTTTATCAAAGTTATCATTGAAAATTCACCTGGCAAAGTAGGCAAATGTGTCTATAAAGACAACTAAACACCTTTAGACAAACTCTCAATATTAAATTATTCAGACAATATCTACAAATAATATTACTGCTTAATAGCTTTATTAAATAGATAGAATTTATATCTTTAATTTCAAATTTGTGAGCCTCTGTCAGTAAAGGATAGTTACAAAATTAAGATCAACTTCTACTTGTTGTTTTGTAAGCCATTCAAATTATAATCAGTGAAGTAAGTAATTTTAGTTCACCAACGTACGTGCGTAGATAGGCATGCCTTGAAACATGTCTCAGCGGCTGACCTTCCGCCGCAGTTCAAAATCATCCAAAATCATTGGCCAATTACTGAGGTCAAACTCTATTCCCTGCTCCCGAACGTGCATACAAAACCTGATCTAGCTACTATATAGTAATGTAGTCCATATAAACTCATAAACGACCAACGTTATTCCCTCTCTGGATACGGGCCTCCTGCACTCTATGGATAACATTAAGTTAACTGACTTTATTACAGGATGAAGAAAAACACAAAATATGTTAGGCCTATCGTTTACAAACTTGGAATCCTTACTCCCAAAAAAAAAAAAAAAAAAAAAAAAAAAAAAAACACAACATATTGTCATATTTAAATATTTCATTTCTTGAAAAAATAATTAAATTTGCCTACTGGAACCAAAATGGTATTTTGAAGTTAGTACATTACTAAAAGATTCAATTTTAAAATATTTGGTATCATACGAAAACTAGTATTAAAATTATCTATCACATGATGTATAGGGTGACACTTTATATTAATTTTGTGACCACAAAATTATAAAAAAAACCCATTTTTTTAATTTTTTCTCTAAAATTAGCATTACATATTTTCTTAAATAAATACGAAAAATAATAAGCTAACAACCTTTTCGCCTGATACCTTCTCAAAATAAAACACCTATTGGATTTTAATGCCAAAAAAATGGTATTTCGAAGCTAACCCGTCACTGGAAGATATATTTCAATATATTTGACATTAAAATTATCTATCAAATGATGTATATGTTACATTATGTTACTTTTGATTAAGATTTTCCAGGTTACTCAGATGTTATTAGAGTTGAACCCATTCAGAGTGGAGTCAGTTCTTAATCTCTTCTCTCTGGTGTCTGACCACTACTCTATCTGATTCAGTGATGTGGGGTGTTTGGCTATTATACTCAATGAATGGGGTGTGTCTCAATTAAGTCACCCCATACTTTAGTTTCTGATTGGATCATAGAAAAATTCTTTCTATGATTTAGTAACTTGTTTAACAAAAAGTTGCTAATTAAGATATATAACAAACTTCACGACTTACAGGCTTAAAACTTTCAATTATAGATTCATAGTATGAGAAAGGTCAAGTCCAATTGACTAGTGTAATAAATGACCAATTGTATGGTAGATTATCTGTATACTCAGATTGATTATTCAAGCTGTCAAGTCACTTTAAGACATTTAACAGGTGAAGGGGAATCGATGATATACAAATTCCAATTGTTATATAAGTTAATACCAATGAACCTTATACTACATTACAATATATATACTATAAATAATATATAATGGTCTATAGGTTAAACTATCCCCCGCCGGTGTAACCGGACATCATCCCGGTATTTATGATTCTGGACTTTATACTTAGGTCTATGTTGTTCAAGTATAATTGAATGAATGAACAAAACATTGAAATTAGTACAGCGTAGTTTACAGTAGCTTACCTCGCAAGAAAAATATCAAATTTGTCCAATAGGCATGCAAATTGCAACATCATCCTTCTTGACTGGTCATATACGGAAAAATACGGACGTGTGCCCTATGTTGCCTTGATTATGCGAGAATCTTCATTACAATTTTGATTACACATTTTCGGGTTAGGGCCTCTATTATAATTCGGCGTATTTCAAAGCCTAAAGCATAGATAGGTCTTAAAATATATTGACTGCACTAGTACAATAGTTCGATTCCATAATTTGATATTGACCTGTGACCTTTTGACCTCTAGATAGCCTAATGCCAAATTTTAGCCTGGTAGGTTCTATTATGTTTATTTCCTAATAATGCAGCAGTTTGCCTTTGCATTTTGTAAACCATCGAATAATTATTAGTGAAAAAATTAAATATGCAAATTAAAATATAATTACTGAGGTCAAAGTTCAGATCTTGTTCAATAACAACAGAAACATGTATCTAGGAAACAGGCATAATTGTGTATACTGTAATTTGAGATTAGTTTCAAGTCTCTACTATCCTTAGTTAAAGAAATATGAAAATGTCTTATGACATGGGTCAAAGGTCAAATAAGGGCACTTCCGTTCATTTTCAGACCACATTTTCCATTAAACCAAATGGGAAGTAACATCCCCATTATGAAAAATTTGGCACCAAACGCAACTCTAAGGACTAGCAGTTGACAAGATATAATAACTGTAGGCCTATTGTCATGGCCTTGAACTGTTTTTTTCAATATGAGCAAATGGTCTATAAGGGCACGTCCATTCATTTTCAGACCACATTTCTCATTAGACCAAATAGGAACATACTCATTCTGAACAATTTGACACAAAAAGCAACTCTCTAGAACTAGTAGTTGACAGATATAATTTCTATATTGTCACGACCTTTCACTTAGAAATTAAGTACCGAATTTAGATGGCTTCCACCATTATTTTTTTTTCTAGATTTTTGACATGTTGTTTAGGATACACATAAAGAGTAATAGCCTTAAAATAAAAACTATTGCAATTAATTCATTGTCATATTCGGTAGTTTTCATTTTTTTAAACTTCATAATTTTCTTTATATATTTTTTTTTTCATGTATATTTTATTTTTTAATGAATGTGTTATACTTTCAGCTTAGTTCTCATTATGGCATTGAGAAAAAGCACTACGTCCTGCTATTGATTACTATTATTTTAATCCAGGTGAATGAAAATTTTTCTTTACCTGACGTGTTATAGTACCGTATTGAGGGCTCAGTACATAATTATTGACTCTTATACTGTTAATCACAGGTGGTCAAAATGCGCCGCGCGCCGCATGCGGCCCAAGAGCACTGTTTTTGCGGCCCGAGAAGATGAATTAAAAACCCTATGTGTGTAGCCCGCCAAGCAGCATTGACTAGAAAACACCTTGTTTTTTACGGCCCGGCACCGATCATATGTAAAAATAACAAGGTTTTTGGAAGCTCACTGGAAACATCAAGTTTGTGTGCGGCCCTCGGTGTTAAATCAAAAATTCACTTGGCCCTCCGACCTATTTTTATGCCCACCCCTCGTTTATAGCC